GTGTAACGTCCTGTGAATGTAATGAATATGTTACCTCGATAATAATAGAAACACGATGTTTTCTTATATGCATGGACTAGATAAAAGGTTGGAGTGTTACCATATCGACCAATGTTTGTAATCTATGTATTTGAATCCTTTCCAGTGCTTGCACCCACAATCATCCAAAGCGCACTCCCCGCACTCCTCTCTAGTGTAGGAAAACGTGAAATGTAAGTAATGACTTCATGTACTAAAAGCTAATTTCATTCAAGATGCTTTTGTTCTTCATTTGATATCATGTTTGTCGAAAAGTCGATTGATATGTGTGATATTGCAAACTGTATGTTGTCATAAGCAAGAAAAGTTGAAATTTCCGAAGCAATTGGCCGATAATTTACTTGGCCAGGCTTCGATTATTGACAGCCACCATGATGAGGTTAGATATATTCTGACTTCCTTCATTCCCTTCATTCAATACTTTTCTATATGTTACAAACGATGGATTTCGTGTATGGAGCATGTATAATGTCGACGTGTGCTTTCAATCAAAGTAAGATGATTTCTTTTTCAAATGGCAATTAATGCCAATTGCTTTACAGACATCCTTGAAGGTATGTATCTATTGTAGTGTAGTTGTTATACTCATGTTCAGTGTTAGAGATTGCATGCCATGTATGAAAGTACCGGGTATGTGTTTGTCCTTGTTTTCAGTGTAAAAGATGAGAGGCCCTCTGTAACAGTGTTGTGTATGTGTTTGTAAATCATGCTCAGTGCCAGAGATGTCATGCCATGTATGAAAGTATCGTGTTTGTTCTCAGTGTGGAGGCCGGACTTCTGGAACATGTGAGGGATGAGATGCTCTCTGTGGTGGACAAGCTGAAGGAGTCTGTGGAGGGAGCAGAGAAGGTGAATACAATTCACGCATATTACTTCAGAACTCATTATATGTAGAGGAAGCAGAGAAGGTGGATGCAATTCAAGCACTTTATCTCTCGACTCATTATATGTGGAGGAAGCAGAGAAGGTGAATACAATTCACTCACATTATCTCTCAACTCATTTTATGTGGAGTGAGCACAGGAGGTGAATCCAATTCATGCACATTACTTCAGAACTCATCATATGTAGAGGACCCAGAGAAGTTGAATACAATTCACGCACATTATCATTCAACTCATCATATGTGGAGGCAGCAGAGAAGGTGAATACAATTCATGCACATTATCATTCAACTCATTATGTGTGGAGGAAGCAGAGAAGGTGAATATCAACAATAACATTCGGAACACGATGAGCTGTGTGTTAACGTGAAGATAAGTCTCCACAAGACTGTATGTCGAGAGGGATGACTTCAACTTTCCAATAATCAACTTACACTTTTTATGAAGCAAATTCCAGCAGCCCAAGCAATTGGTGCCACCATCTAACAACTTATGAGTATAATTACTAGAAGACCACTGTTGACCCTTCCCCAAAATGACCGGGCAGCCCAAGTCAAAATTGTTCAGTATACATCAGGAAACTCAAAAACACGTTCGAACCTTTGTTTATATCATTTGGTCACGGGACCTACAGGTTGGTCCTTGACTAAATAGAGGATGCTCGTTCTATAAAGATTTCATAGAGCGTTATACGAGTCTTGCTCAAAAGCTGTTTGATTCAGGAAAAACGTTTAAGGTTTTTGAAACATCAGTGACTGAAAGAAAGTATGATGCAGTTCCCTATGTTGACTTTTGTCATGTTCACTTTCTTTTTAGATGAATATTTGACTTGCCTGTGTAGGTGTGGGTCATCTTTTCGCAAACGCCTCATATCATATATATTTTATAGAGATTCAGAGACATGATGATACTATAGTCAGTAGCATACGATAAATTCATATGGATTATGGAAATGTTTTGTCGTTTTTATCAACATATAAAGTTGACATCAGACTTACAAATTCACATATATTTTATCTTCGTAGTAAATACGACAATCAGTACAAATCTCGATAAAACAGCATTTCGAAACGTTTTCTAGGTCTTGTGTCTGAATTCAGTGACAAAGTATCTGATCATTACGTTCAGATCGCCACGAACCTTGAGGGCAACCTGAAGACAGCTGCCCAGGGTCTGACCAGTGGCCAGGATGTCAAAGCCCTCGCCCAGATGGTGCTGTCCACCCTGGAGAAGGATGTCGAGTCAATGATGGGTACTACTATAGGCATATACAACATATATGTATAAGATTAAATATGAAGCACATGGCGATAAAAGCTTTCAGTTAGATTGTGCAGTTAAATGCCTGTGTCAGTGTTTGAATAATGTTATGCTGACTTATGTGCTTCCACGTGGATAACCTCACTGAGATGACCTTCTTTGTATTCATTTGAAGTAGAACTTCCTGTTTTGTTCATTGTTTCAGAAAAGGGAACATTTGACGTTGATATTGATGCGTTGATCCAGAATATTGTCCCCAACGCTGTTGCAAAGGTTAATATCACGATCGATTGCAGAGAAACGTTTTGAGGATTCTACACACAGACGTTATATTAAGCCAAAATATTTAGATATAAAGGGGGGTTAATCCATATACCAACTCTCAACCATCACTATGACTGAGGGACTCCCACTCTATATTGTGCACTGGACAGTACTATCGGTACAACGCCCGTTCTCAAATCGTCAATACTCACCTCCAGCAGCGCCACACCCATAGAATACCATGGCCAGCAATAAGCCCAGGCCTTTTCCCCCCTTAAACACGCCTGTGGCAATATAGGGAGGCGTGTGCGTCACCGCCTTAGGCCGCCAACCACGCTGGTTGAACTTTCCAGGTGTTGAAGAGGCGTGGGGCAGAAACCTGGAAATCGCCTTTGGGAGACTGATACGCATTTAGCCTAAGCGAGTTAATGAATGTTTAACAAATCGTGCGACAATTACAAACGACTGATGCAAACACGTAAAATATTCCCATCTTACCCCTATCGTCTTTCAACATCGTTGGCGGTCATAACGTCATGCCATACTTCACTACCTTGAAATGTGTTTCCAATTTGTCCGTATTTATGATGCAACTATTACCAGAAATCTCATAAAAAATATAATTCCGAAAACCTCTACAGTTAAAGAATAAAACTACAGTGAAGCGGAGAGTTGTGACAGTGGTGTATGTTTTCAGCTCTTCTCCAAGCACAGCCGTCGTGGTCTTCTCGGCGATATTTTCAACGGATTGAAGGACACTGTGGGTGATACTCTTGGTCTTCTGACTGGCACCGCCTTTGCCGATCTTAAAACATTCCTCGGAAGCGCTGTTACAACTGCCACACAAGCTCTTTCCCCGGCACTGGGTAACCTGAAGGGTCTCGCCCAGACAGTAAGTTCCATTGAAACATTGTATTTAGTGGCTCGACCAGACAATATGTTCTATTGCAACATTGTATTTAGTGGCTCGACCAGACAGTAAGTTCCATTGCAACATTGTATTTACAGGCTCGACCAGACAATATGTTCCATTGCAACATTGTATTTAGTGGCTCAACCAGACAATATGTTCCATTGAAACATTGTATTTAGTGGCTCGACCAGGCAGTACGTTCCATTGAAACATTGTATTAAGTAGCTCGACCAGACAGTAAGTTCCATTGAAACATTGTATTTAGTGGCTCGACCAGACAGTAAGTTCCATTGAAACATTGTATTTAGTGGCTCGACCAGACAGTACGTTCTATTGAAACATTGTATTTAGTGGCGACCACACAGCACGTTCTATTGAAACATTGTATTTCGTGGCTCGCCCAGACAGTACAAGCACGTTCTATTGAAACATTGTATTTAGTGGCTCGACCAGACAGTACGTTGTATTGAAACATTGTATTTCGTGGCTCGACCGGATATTTAGTCCCATTGAAACATTGTTTTTAGTGGCTCGACCAGACAGTACGTTCTATTGAAACATTGTATTTAGTGGCGACCACACAGCACGTTCTATTGAAACATTGTATTTCGTGGCTCGCCCAGACAGTACAAGCACGTTCTATTGAAACATTGTATTTAGTGGCTCGACCAGACAGTACGTTGTATTGAAACATTGTATTTCGTGGCTCGACCGGATATTTAGTCCCATTGAAACATTGTTTTTAGTGGCTCGACCAGACAGTACGTTCTATTGAAACATTGTATTTCGTGGCTCGACCACACAGCACGTTCTATTGAAACATTGTATTTCGTGGCTCGCCCAGACAGTACAAGCACGTTCTATTGAAACATTGTATTTAGTGGCTCGACCAGACAGTACGTTCCATTGCAACATTGTATTTAGTGGCTCGACCAGACAGTACGTTGTATTGAAACATTGTATTTCGTGGCTCGACCGGATATTTAGTCCCATTGAAACATTGTTTTTAGTGGCTCGACCAGAGAGTACGTTCTATTGAAACATTGTATTTCGTGGCTCGACCACACAGTACGTTCTATTGAAACATTGTATTTAGTGGCTCGACCACACATTACGTTCCATTGCAACATTGTATTTAGTGGCTCGCCCAGACAGTACGTTGTATTGAAACATTGTATTTCGTGGCTCGACCGGATATTAAGTCCCATTGAAACATTGTTTTTAGTGGCTCGACCAGACAGTACGTTCTATTGAAACATTGTATTTCGTGGCTCGACCACACAGTACGTTCTATTGAAACATTGTATTTCGTGGCTCGACCACACAGTACGTTCTATTGAAACATTGTATTTAGTGGCTCGGCCAGACAGAAGGAAGTACGTTCTGTTGAAACATTGTTTTTAGTGGCTCGCCCAGACAGTACGAGTACGTTCCATTGAAACATTGTTATCAGGGCCTCGTCCAGACAGTAAGTTTCATTGAAACAACGAATTCAAAGGTTGACCCAGACAGTAAGTTACATTGCAACATTGTATTCACGCATGTAACATCTGTGTCTGTGTCCAGTTCCTAGCCCAAGCTGGACAAGCCACCGCACAGGTCGCTGCCGAGGCCGTCAAGTTCTTCAAGCCATTCCAGACTCAACTGGGATCCGTCTTCACTCAGATCAAGAGTGTAGCTGAAAAACTGACGGGACATTAAACGAGTATACAAGAGATTTAGAATAAAACAACATATTAAAACATTGCCTCCTTGTTTATTCGGTGACGTATGAATGTGTGTATCCGTGTTATACACCATTGTGTGAAACCCACTCTCAATGTCAGTACATTCCGACATACACAATAAGTGACGCTGCAAGATTATTTACACACTCACCTCAGCAAGTAGGACCTATGTCCTGCATACAGAACATATTGAACAATTCGGTGAGAAAGACAAATAGACAGTACCTGTCTACCCCAGCAGAGACAAAATATGAATTAAATCGTGTACGTATTTATTTGAGAAACAAATCAAAGGGGATACCATTTTTATATATAACAGCGTTATAACCTGTACCGACATGCAATAAAGAAATTGTTCATCCGTACACCTTATGCTACTCCAACTTCTAAATGCCTCTCAAAGACGATAACTTTTTGGGAAGATTCTGCCATTTCTGCTTGTTTTCTTGGCGCCTTACTCCGTGTAGCGCTGCCTTGGCCTTTACCTATTGCGTGTTATCCCGTGACCGTGCAGGCACTGGCAAGTATGTGGCTAGATATGTTCTCATTAATTCGCACATGTAAACTTTTCAGATTTAGATTGCCCATCGATCTGATCTCAAATAGGACTTTATTAAACGATTCTCTGTAAACATGATGGTGCAGAATGTGAGGCTTCGTGATTTTACAGTCCCTATATTTTTCGTGAATGAAATGTCTACCTGATACATTGCTACAGATAATAAAGAAGTTGTTATCCATAAAGCTTTCATGTCTATCTATCTACAATCCCTGCTGTCTGTAGGTATTCCCGGTACAATCCTTGCTGTCTGTAGGTATGTTCTGGTACAATGCCTGCTGTCTGTCTATATGTTCTGGTAGAATCCCTGCTGTCTGTAGGTATGTTCTGGTACAATCCCTGCTGCCTATAGGTATGTTCTGGAACAATCCCTGCTGTCTGTAGGTATGTTCTGGTACAATCCCTGCTGTCTGTCTGTATGTTCTGGTACAATCACTGCTATCTATATATTCTGGTACAATCCTTGATGTCTGTCTATATGTTCTGGTGCAATCACTGGTGTCTGTCTTTTTTCTGATACAATCACTGCTGTCTGTCAAATGTTCTGGTAAAATCCCTGTAAGTAATAGTGGTTGCACTGTGTATCTTGTCATGTCCGCCGGTCGTTGGCCTTGTTGTGTGGCAGATCACTAGTATGCCATTCACTCCAATAACTTGCCAACATTCACAGTGTTGGGCGATGTAACTTTTACAGTTTAAGGTTATAACACATTTATATTGTGGGGTGATAATACATTCACAGTGTAAGGTTATAACATATTTATATCCTGGCGTGACACTACATTCACAGTGTAAGGTTATAACACATTTATACTGATGGGTGATAATACATTCACGTGTTAGGTTATATCACATGTATACTGTGGGATGATATACATTCACAGTGTAAGGTTATAACATATTTATACTGTTGGGTGATAATACATTCACAGTGTAAGGTTATATCACATTTATACTGTGGGATGATATACATTCATAGTGTAAGGTTATAACATATTTATACTGTTGGGTGATAATACATTCACAGTGTAAGGTTATAACACATGTGTACTGTCGGGTGATAATACATTCACAGTATAACGTTATAACATATTTTTACCCTGGCGTGATAATATATTCACAGTGTAAGATTATATCAACTTTATACTGCGGGGTGATAATACATACACACTGTAAGGTGATATTATTTTCACAGTGTAAGGTTATAACATTTTTATACTGTGGGGTGATAATGTATTCACAGTGTAAGGTTTAATACATTTATACTGCAGGGTGATATCACTTTCACAGTGTAAGGTTATAACATAGTCATACTGTGGGATGATATACATGCACGGTGTAGGGCTATATAACATTTCCATTTTATTATGATAATACCCTCAAAGTGTAGGTTGATAAAACATTCATGGTGTGCAGTAATATCTACTTCACGGTGTGAGATGGAAACACTTTGACAGTGAAGGTTGATAAAACATTCATGGTGTGCAGTAATATCTAATTCCGCTGTCTGTCTGTATGTCCTGGTACAATCCCTGCTCTCTGTCTGTATGTCCTGGTACAATCACTGCTGTCTGTCTAAATATTCTGGTACAATCTCTGCTGTCTGTCTGTATGTTCTGGTACAATCACTGCTATCTATATATTCTGGTACAATCCTTGATGTCTGTCTATATGTTCTGGTGCAATCACTGGTGTCTGTCTTTTTTCTGATACAATCACTGCTGTCTGTCAAATGTTCTGGTAAAATCCCTGTAAGTAATAGTGGTTGCACTGTGTATCTTGTCATGTCCGCCGGTCGATGGCCGTGTTGTGTGCCAGATCACTAGTATGCCATTCACTCCAATAACTTGCCAACACTCACAGTGTTGGGCGATGTAACTTTTACAGTTTAAGGTTATAACACATTTATATTGTGGGGTGATAATACATTCACAGTGTAAGGTTATAACATATTTATATCCTGGCGTAACACTACATTCACAGTGTAAGGTTATAACACATTTATACTGATGGGTGATAATACATTCACGTGTTAGGTTATATCACATGTATACTGTGGGATGATATACATTCACAGTGTAAGGTTATAACATATTTATACTGTTGGGTGATAATACATTCACAGTGTAAGGTTATATCACATTTATACTGTGGGATGAAATACATTCATAGTGTAAGGTTATAACATATTTATACTGTTGGGTGATAATACATTCACAGTGTAAGGTTATAACACATGTGTACTGTCGGGTGATAATACATTCACAGTATAAGGTTATAACATATTTTTACCCTGGCGTGATAATATATTCACAGCGTAAGGTTATATCACATTTATACTGTGGGATGATATACATTCACAGTGTAAGGTTATAACATATTTATACTGTTGGGTGATAATACATTCACAGTGTAAGGTTATAACACATGTGTACTGTCGGGTGATAATACATTCACAGTATAACGTTATAACATATTTTTACCCTGGTGTGATAATATATTCACAGTGTAAGCTTATATCACATTTATACTGTGGGGTGATAATACATACACACTGTAAGGTGATATCATTTTCACAGTGTAAGGTTATAACATTTTTATACTGTGGGGTGATAATGTATTCACAGTGTAAGGTTTAATACATTTATACTGCAGGGTGATATCACTTTCACAGTGTAAGGTTATAACATAGTCATACTGTGGGATGATATACATGCACGGTGTAGGGCTATATAACATTTCCATTTTATTATGATAATACCCTCAAAGTGTAGGTTGATAAAACATTCATGGTGTGCAGTAATATCTACTTCACGGTGTGAGATGGAAACACTTTGACAGTGTAGGTTGATAAAACATTCATGGTGTGCAGTAATATCTACTTCACGGTGTGAGATGGAAACACTTTGACAGTGTAGGTTGATAAAACATTCATGGTGTGCAGTAATATCTACTTCACGGTGTGAGATTACTTCACGGTGTGAGATGGAAACACTTTGACAGTGTAGGTTGATAAAACATTCATGGTGTGCAGTAATATCTACTTCACGGTGTGAGATGGAAACACTTTGACAGTGTAGGTTGATAAAACATTCATGGTGTGCAGTAATATCTACTTCACGGTGTGAGATGGAAACACTTTGACAGTGTAGGTTGATAAAACATTCATGGTGTGCAGTAATATCTACTTCACGGTGTGAGATTACTTCACGGTGTGAGATGGAAACACTTTGACAGTGTAGGTTGATAAAACACTCATGGTGTGCAGTAATATCTACTTCACGGTGTGAGATTACTTCACGGTGTGAGATTACTTCATGGTGTGAGATTACTTCACGGTGTGAGATTTCTTCACGGTGTGAGATTACTTCACGGTGTGAGATTACTTCACGGTGTGAGATGGAAACACTTTGACAGTGCAGGGGACTATGAGAACCAGTTGTTGATCCTAATTTATCCATCACTTGTGTTCTTGGATGCATACTGTAGAGTCGGTGTTCTAGCACATACTGCACTAAAACATCAATAACTAACATGTTGAATATTGGAGTAAATAAACATGTATATCAGTGTCTTTAAAGTTTCCTGCAATGATTGACGTCACGACAGGTAAGAAACCTGTACATCTGACATTGAGTAATACATGTACATCTGACATTGAGTAATACATGTACATCTGACATTGAGTAATACAGGTACATCTGACATAGAGTAATACATGTACATCTGACATAGTGTAATACATGTAGATCTGGCATAGAGTAATACATGTACATCTGACATAGAGTAATACATGTACATCTGACATAGAGTAATACATGTACATCTGACATTGAGTAATACAGGTACATCTGACATAGTGTAATACATGTACATCTGACATAGTGTAATACATGTACATCTGGCATAGAGTAATACATGTACATCTGACATAGTGTAATACATGTACATCTGACATAGTGTAATACATGTACATCTGACATAGAATCATACATGTACATCTGACATAGTGTAATACATTCACATCAGACATAGTGTAATACCTGTACATCTGACATAGTGTAATACCTGTACATCTGACATAGTGTAATACATGTACATCTGACATAGAGTAATACATTTACATCTGACATAGTGTAATACATGTACATCTGACATTGAGTAATACATGTACATCTGACATAGAGTAATACATGTGCATCTGACATAGAGTAATACATGTACATCTGACATAGTGTAATACATGTACATCTGACATTGAGTAATACATGTACATCTGACATAGAATCATACATGTACATCTGACATAGTGTAATGCATGTACATCTGACATAGAATCATACATGTACATCTGACATAGTGTAATACATGTACATCTGACATAGTGTAATACATTTACATCAGACATAGTGTAATACCTGTACATCTGACATAGTGTAATACATTTACATCAGAC